ATGGAGGCCAGATCCAGCGGATCTCCGAGGTGCACCTGTTCTTCCCTCTATGCAACAAGACAGCGCTACTTTCAGCAATCGGCCTGCATCCCCGGCCAAGAGCCAACAAGCAGACTGGGGATCTGAATCTCCCGAGGTCCTTGAGGAGATCACCGAGGATTTGCGTGTTCGCGTAGACAACTGGCACGGGCTGGACTTCTCAAGGCACGCAGCTACTCTTCAGTTCCTTGCAATCTATATCTAACATCTCACAGGTTTGGAAAGCTACGTCTCTACGGCACAGTACGAGTTGGCAAGGACCGCCAGTCGTGGCAAGAGCTCGAATGCTTTCTCTTTGCTGAAATGCTTATCTGCGTGAAAGAGAAGAAGGGGGCGCCGCCACAGTACGCGGAAGGGAATTCGAAACGCAAGCTCACAAGATGTACCCTCAAGGGATCGATCCTCATCAAGAAGCACCTGAAGCATGTGGAGTCGAGTCCCGACGAGCCAGTTCTAACCCTTAGTCTGTCAGTTCAAGACCTACAGCAGTTTCACCTTCAGTTCCAGACCCGGACTCAAGTCGAACATTGGAAACGCTCGCTTCTCGATCTGAACAACGACCACCCTAGGCAAAGCAACGAATACGAGCCGGAAAACTCGGGCACCGACGACGATGATTACAGGACGATGAAGACCAAGCGTGCGTCGTCAGTGAACTCCTCGTACGGTGGGCCAAAGTCGGTTAACACCGCACCAACAGAGTACACTACTTCGGGCATGGGCAGACCAATGCAGGACACGCGCAGGCCGTCGTCCATACACGTGCCTCTTGACATCGTTGTGGTCATCCCCGTCTCATCATCTATGCAGGGGCTCAAAATTACGCTACTACGCGATGCGCTCAAGTTCCTTGTCCAAAACCTTGGTGAAAGAGATAGAATGGGCTTGGTTACATTTGGCTCGAGTGGAGGCGGTGTACCGCTTGTGGGTATGACCACAAAGGCATGGGGTGGCTGGACCAAAATTCTCAACTCGATCCGGCCTGTTGGGCAGAAAAGTCTACGGGCCGACGTTGTTGAAGGCGCGAATGTCGCCATGGACTTACTTATGCAACGCAAAGCCAACAACCCCATTGCAACGATCTTACTCATCAGCGACTCGTCCACGTCCGATGCGGAGAGCGTGGATTTTGTCGTATCCAGAGCAGAGGCTGCAAAGTAAGTTTGTCTTCTACCCCTCACGCGCTCGGATGTTGCCATGCGGGAAATTTGCGCGACGTGGGTGCTAACGTCTGTCTACCAGGGTCGCTATCCACTCTTTTGGCCTTGGTTTGACCCACAAGCCGGATACGATGATCGAGTTATCCACACGTACCAAAGCATCATATACCTATGTCAAAGATTGGATGATGCTCCGGGAGTGCGTTGCCGGATGCTTAGGGGCCCTGCAGACGACCTCTCATCAAAACGTCAAACTGAAGTTGCGCTTGCCTGAAGGTTCCCCCGCAAAATTCGTCAAAATTTCGGGTGCTCTACAGATCACCAAGCGCGCCACTGGAAAGGACGCTGAAGCCGCACTAGGAGATTTGAGATTCGGAGACAAGAGAGGTAAGACTCTAATTGGGGGGAATTCCTGCTGGTGAGACATGGCTTTCTGACCATTCGACTGTAGATATTCTCGTGCAACTCGTCATCGCGCCAGACAATTCCTCTCAAGAGCACCTACCACAGGATCCGTGGGAGAGTATCGTGTCCGGCCTCGAAGCACTAGGCGGGCCATTCGACAGTGATGAGCAGAGGACCCTGAGTGTGGAGGAGGTTCCGCTCATCCAAGCTGACTTGACATATGGAGATATCCTGCGCGATGGCACTCTGACGCACCCGTCACGGCCGTCTTTACTTGCGATTACGATGCTGCCTGCGAATCCTAGGGCGAAGAACACGGGTAGGCCTGCAACACCGCCAATACCACCTCATCCTAGTATTGTGCAGCGCAGAATGGAACTTTTGACCTCGGACATGCTTAGCAGAGCATTGACCCTAGTCACCCGAGGACAGCATGACCGTGCTCATCATCTCTTGAAGGAGACCCGAACCATTATGAAAGGGCTAGGAAAAGGAGGTCTTCCGCCAATTCCTCAAGCAGGAAACGGCAAACCTCCCAGTGCACCTCCCAGCGTGCAGGGTGACGGTGCGACAACACCTGAGCGACAATCCTCACCCGCCTCAGACGAGAACGGCATGGGTGGCCATGCCTCCGCCATCGATGCCATCACCCTGAATGCTCTCGATACGGAACTAGAAGCATCACTCGAATGGATAAATCACCCCGCTGTCTTTGGTCGGGATTCAAGGAAAGCTGTCCTGCAGGCGATTGGTGTCATCGCTTCACAAAGGGGATACACATTCCGAACACCGTCTGAGAGCCTGTGGGCAGGACGGATAGCCGGTGTAAAGAGGTTGACGAAGCATTCGAGGGAGTGGAGAGATGCGGGAGATGAGGCGTTAATGGAGGAGGCCTGATGAGCGATCAGGAATCGATGCCACGTTCCCTGCAACGCTGCTCATACCGCCTCTCCCGAGAAGAGTGAGCGCCGCCATACCGATGAGATATGACTTCTGGATATATGATTTCGGGATGATGAGCAACAACATTCCTTCTACCATCTATTTTTCCTTCGACAAATTATCTCCAACGGCTTCGACAATAGAGTCTCATTTGATAACGTATTCAGAAAAAGCCCGGGCGGCGGAGGAGGGCGCAGGCGAAGATCTATGACGGCTTTATGACGGCTTTCTTACCACATACTACTACACAGTACCTATTTTTTTCTGACGTTTGTTCTATCTACATTTCTGCAGGCGGGCATAGCTACTTGCGAGTCCTTGCGTGGCTTTTTGATACCCTGTTGCGGTGATCTCACGCAACACTAGTGGTGACGAAGAAGGATCTAGAAGGCCGAGGCGACGTGATATTGGTAAGAAGGTCCAGCGGGAGGAGAAAAGAGTGGTGCTGAAGGAATCCGGAGGCGGAGGCGGCGTGGTATTCATTGGTAAAAAGCAAAGGGGGGAGGACACTCTGTGGGCGTGGACATACTTTGCCTTGCATAGATATGGTTAATCAGTAAATGGGCTTTTGGCCTCGTTTGAAAACTCCGGGGTCGTAAAAGTGTGAGGTGCGATGACGCTCAGCTCGACGACTATGAATTTGTGTGTTGTACGGAGTATCCATCTAATTCCCTCTTCGATAAGTGCAACATCCCCGCGCGCCAGCGGAATGACCCAGGTATCTTCTCCCCTTTTCGGCACCCCGTCTCCAACGCGTCCGGAGTGCCGCTGTTTCTTCTTCAAACGAGGCATTCAATCTACATGCAAAATGATTCAAGAACAGGATTTACACACGACTTGACGGTGCCACAAGTCTTCATTGGGATCCAATGTCAACTCCTGCTTGACCTGTGTGTAACCTTCGAAGCATTGACAGGGCTCCAGGCTTACCGAAGTCCATTGTGTAATGTCTGGACCTTTGGCTTGTTCCGTGCAAGTGTGGACCATGCCGTCACCATACGAGAGGTCCGGGTTTACCTCCAGGATCGCAAGCGCCATAGGGATTTTGATAGCGTCATCTTGTGCCTCCAATGTGTAATTTTTATTTTGCCTATGCTGGTAGCTGCCACGGACAGACCCATTCCACAGGCCTATACTGATCCGGAAAGAAATGTAGCATGGGTAATAGGTGTAAGCTGCAGATGACCCAACCACCGTCGATGAGAAGTGTCTGTACCTCGTAAACAATTGGTCCTTTAGGGTAGCCACGACGAAAGGATAGCTGGCGGCGCTCAATGCCTTCAACGACGTCCCTTATCGCGCTTCCAGTGTCTCACTTTCTCGCAGACCACTTCGTCTTAGGAGAAGTCTTTGGGAGTGTGGAGAAGCACCCATCTTTTGACAGATAGATTCAATTGGCTACCAGCTTGTGATTCTGCTTTCCATATGCTAGATAGGAAGCAGTGTTGGTATGTCTCTACTGGGACTCGATAGGAGCGCCATTAGATGCTCGAGCATGAAACACAGAATACGAGAAGGCCACGAGGGAAGCCAGGTCAAAGCCAAAAACGTTTCCTTGTAGATATTGCTACAAGGTTAGAGGCGTCCCATCATTGGTAGCATTGACGTTACGACGAAGTATACCAGTACATAGGAAGACTTTGCAATTAAACGCCCCAAATCTGGCTTTCCGCGAATCGATTAACCTTTGCTCATGACAGCAGTGCTCTGGATCACTCGATGAACGGGCTGTTGCCCATTGTATGCAGTGAATTCGTTTCATCCGCGAGGTGAATGGCCACGAGATTCGAGCGTGGTTGATGCGTGGAAGTAGCAATCTCGAGAGGGAAAACTCTGCAAGCACCGTCTCGAGGTATTGCAAGCCACTTGCATATTATGGACATAGTATGGACGGCGCTTCGATTTGTTGTCATGAAATCAGACGAAAGGAGCGATATGGAGGAGTTTTCTTTCTTCTGTATAATATTGATGGAAGACGCTGGTAGGCGTTCGTTCATACGAACTTTGTGACTAGGTTTCGTATCCATTAAATCTTCCTTCTACCAGCAGCTCTAAGCTATGTGCAGAAGATTCGCAGGAGGAAGTTAGTCCCCTCGAACACAGTGAGTAAAACGTAGCGGAAATTGCGTGGTGCCGTGACATGAGTAGCGACTGTGTCCTGGAAATTTACTTTAGGCTTCGGTGACAGAATTCAGGGGACTCTAGCGCAGAGCTTTAGGGGCCGAGTGGCCTGCCCTGGCGGAAACCAAAAGCCTTTCACCAGAGCCTGCTTGCTTAGAGTGATCAGACGTAGAGGATTGCTACGGTACTTTATTGATCATGTAGTACTTTGCTTTGTCGTTGGCAAAACCGACGCAAGGGGCGATCTGATAACCATGGTTTTGCCGTTTACTCCTTCATTATCCCTCTCCACCGCAATTGACTCTCCACCTCCATTCCGCCTAGCCTTCACAAATGCCTCCCCGGCTATGGCCAAGCTCCTTCTCTCACCTCTGGTCGCCTAAGATCATAAGAGCTTCTCCATCCACCCCCCTTCACCACAGTCTCCTCCCCAGAACCTCCGTACGTCTAGCTTCCCAAAGGGGCCCCCAACGCACACAGTACAACCGCTTCGGAAACATCCAGATCCTCTACAGCCTGTGGAGAACATCCCCTAATTTCCGCTATGGCGTCGGTGCCGTGGGCCTCAGCTCAGGAGGATTCTACTATTACAATCTTGAGCAAGTCCCCGTATCTGGTCGGCGGCGCTTCAACTGTATATCAACAGCCCGGGAAGAAAGTGTGGGCGAGTCAGGATATCGAAGGGTGATCCAACAGTATGGACAAGACATTCTACCGCCCGATCACCCTCACTCGAGGATGGTAAATAAGGTGCTAGGAAGACTGATACCAGCCGCTGGACTGGAAAGGCAGAAGTGGGATGTAAAGGTCATAGATGACCCAGAGGAGAAGAACGCGTTTGTCTTGCCCGGAGGCAAAGTCTTCGTCTTCAGCGGCATACTCCCCATCTGCGCCGGTGAAGACGGCCTAGCAGCCGTCCTAGGTCACGAAATAGCGCACAACGTCGCTCATCACACCTGCGAAAAGATGAGCCAAATGGCCTTCCTAATCCCTTTCGCGCTACTACTCACTTGGATTCTCGACATATCAGTCCAAGACTCCGGATTCATACTGGACGTCGCGCTCGAGCGGCCAGGCTCCCGGAAGATGGAATCAGAAGCGGATTACATCGGACTTCTAATGATGGCGCAGGCGTGCTACGATCCTAGCGTCGCCGTAGGAGTTTGGGAGCGTATGGCGAAAGAAGAGCAGTATGCGCCGCCACAAATCTTGAGTACGCATCCGACGAGTAAGAACCGAATGAAGGTGATTCAGGAGTGGTTGCCGTAGGCGCAGCAGAAGAGGGCGGAGAGCCAGTGTGGGATTATGACTGGGTATGTGGATGAATTTCAGAGTGCGTTTGAGCATGGGGATGACGGGTTTTGGTGAATTCGAGGATGGATTTAACGATGGCGATGAGGACTCATCCGAGGACTTCACTTGAACGGTGTGTTGAGGTATTTTTTTTACCTAGCGATATCATTTTCTAGGGATCGAGGAATAGACCGAAGGACGGCACGCTACTCAAAAGTCTCAACATAATAATCCCCTTTTTAGATGGATAGAAAGATAAAAAGACAGGATGAAACAAAAACATGACCCCAAAGATTGTCAGTGTCAAGGTCGAAGCCTCTAGAACAGCCAATTATTCACTCTCCATGTGAGAAGTAGAGACACACCCCACTCGATTTTACAGACTTTCCAAGATGCGAGAGAGCATCATGAAGGGCAGAAGACTGAAATCTTGAAGAACCACAGCTTGTTTGCTACATGAAAATGCTATGTACATCTGCGGCTGAATCGTGGTGCAACACTATTTGACCGCCGTCGGCATCTCAGGAAAGAGATAAATTCCGACTACTCAAGCATGCCCTCGTGAATGACTGCTCAGTCTTGCTTTACGGTCAAAGGTTTTTTGCTCATGAACAGTCACTGTTCAATGTTCTCGGACCTTCTTAATGACCTCCGGTCGTAGGCAGCCCCAAGACGACCTTGAAACTGTCATAGATCAACCATTGGAACGCGGTCAGAGTACCAATCATAGCAATCCTGACTGGCAGACCGTTCCAGAGACCTTTGAATCCGATATTGCCGTAGATCCTCGACATGGCTTTCCCAGCGCCCTCGCCGGCTACGACATAGGTCAGCCCACCGTTGTCTCTCGTTGATATATAGGAAAAGGATACATACCTTGCCTATCAGCGTTCAACTTGCTAACCATGACATCCGCCGGGTGACTGATGACCGCACATCCAATACCCGCAATATACCCACCCAAGAAACTCACTCCAGTCTGTTGCAGGGAGTTGTAGGTCTCCTTTGGCTTCCCCAGCGTAGCGTAGATGTAATTGACCGTCGTCTCAAAGGTCGCAAATTTCACCATCGTGTATGGGATTTGCCGGCCCCAAAGCGGGTAGAGACCCTTGTATAGCCCTCCAGTGCCCTCCTTCGCCGTCACCTTGCCCCATCCTTCCCGCAGCGTGCTGGCGAAGGGAGGAATGCTCGTTTGCATCCGAACTTTGATCGCCTCAAACGGACACAACGCGAGATCCGCAAGGAATTCTGCGGATGCTGACGCCGCGAGATAGACGACTGTTTTGTTGGCATTCGGGAACAACTTGTCGCCGTAGGTGTATTTGAATACTTCATAGAATCCATATTTGCCCGCACCTTGGAACGAGTAGCCAACGGCGGTGGGAGACCAGCCGAAGAAGACGCCGCGGAGGCCTTCGGCTTTGTAGATGGTGCGCCAGGCGCTGACGTTAGAGGAGTAGATTTTGGAGTCGACTTGGCGGCGGCATTTTACTAGGTCGAGGGGTGTGACGGCTGCGAGTGCGTTAGTGTGGCGCGGTGGATGCAGTCACCATAGAGTACTGACATGTGTGAGTAGGACCACAGGATATGATTCCTCCCAACGCGCAAGCACCGAAGTAGGTGGGTGAGTAGAGCTCGATGCCGCCTTTGCCCTTCTCGCTACGCCCGGGCATCTTTGTGGCCGCTTTTTCGGTTGCCATTGTGCTGCTTTGCGGAATTGAAGCTTGATAGAGCTGGGGAGGAGCGCAAAAGAGCTCGTGGGCGTGTTTGGGAGATTCAATGGCTTGCACAAGGAGTGGCTGGAAGGCTTGTTGTTGGAGCCGCTAATATCCGGTGCAGTGCCAGAAACCGGCTACAACGGCGATAAGCGGGCAAAGATAAGGGTGCAGCTTCCTGCCAAGCGGAATGCAGAATTTCACGAGAAGAGACTGGGATTTCTGCCAGTGCTAGAAGTATAATGGAGTCTATTGTATCTTTATGGCTTGTTTGATCATCTTCACAAGGTCCCTTAGCCCCTTCTGCCTCTCAGCCTGCGTATCGCAGAGAAACATTGAAGCAACGGGCCATGCATGAACTGCTCCATCCTCTCGTACACTGACAGCGCATCCACTCTTCCGCCACAGAGCAATAAGATCACGTAGGTCTGGGCCGAACACCTCTTCAGACCCGTATAGAATACAGTATCCGTTGGACGGCGATGCTTTTGCCCACCATGTACAATCATTGCAGACCCCTGGAGATACCAATGGATCATCCAAGTTCTCGTCTGACCCCGCGTACTGGCGTCCATACATGTGGAGCCGATTCGCATCAAGGAAATCACTGGCCGTGTTCCGGTTCTGCGTGCTGAAGAGAGTTGTCCATGGGGAGATCAGAGCAGCATAGCCTGGTCTCCGGTTTTCATAATCCGGTTGTCTGGCGATGTGTAGCAACAGACTCAAAATCAATGTTGCACCCGCGGAGTCCCCACCAACACAGATGCGAGAAGGGTCTCGGACAATCTTGCGAACGTATTCGTAGCCAGTGATGGTCTGCTCGAGCTGAGCTGGATACACGGCATCTGGTACTAGGGTATACTCGAGAGAGAATATGGCAGGGTTCCGAAAGCCAGCCTCCTTGAGCAGACTGACCCAGGCTATGAGGAATTCGAGGTAAAAGTAGCAGGATCCCATAGAAAATCCACCACCGTGACAATGATAGATGACAATGTCAGGCTTGTCGTATGGATCTACGATGATCCAGACACCATGAGTATCCTTGAGGTCGATCTCGAGCCAGGTTATGGGCGATTTTAGATAGCCTCGCCTAAGCATGCGAAACCGAAGAAATGGTAGGGCGACTGGCTTGGAGAAAAAGACTCTGCCAATCTTGGTAGAAAAGTGAGCGAAAGCATATCGTACAATGCGAATTACAATATCTTGAAACGGTGAAGCTTGCTTGACGAAGGGTGATCTGCTCCTTTTTGGAGTAAAATATCTTTCTTCGATGAATTCATATGGCAGTTGAATAACTAGCTCTTTGTCAGCAAGTAGGCAGATGAACAGAAGCTGTCTTAACAGAGGTCCTCACGGAAGAATGGTAATGCTTGGACTACACAGACGAGAAGTTCAAAGACGCTGACACGCAGGAGCAACTGTGGCGTAAGGAAGAAGAGGAAAACAAGGCAATCTAGATAGGAGATCTGATCAAGAATCATTGCCTCCAGACTGTCAGTGTTACAAACATAGGAGCATCATCAGCATACAAACAAAGAGTGTAAGACAAGATGAAGGAACAATGTAGAGGCTTTTGAAAGAGACAGCCCAGGGTGTGTCAACATTTGAAGGAAATTGTTTTAAGCCCAAAGCACACTAGTCTGCCAAGGCTCCCCCATTTTTGCGGACTTCAGACAGAGACCCGGACGAGAATCAACACATGTGAACCCTCACCCATCCTTGCGTTGTTTCTCGCCATCTTACCCTGATCTCTGCCTCTTCTTCTCGCCATGTCATCATCTCCACCCCCTTTACCATTTTCCCAGCACAGCAACTCGGCCGACTGAGCGGCAATAGTGAAACCGGCACTGACCAACACACGACCTCCTCATCCCCACCTTGCTCTCAAGAGCTCACCACCATTATGACCACACCTGCAGAGATCGCTGCGTGAGTGGAGCTAAAATACATGAATTTAGCAGCTAGCTGACCGACATACCAGGTCACTGACCATGGATGACATACCGGTCAAGCTTCGCTGCGCAGCTTGCAACAAGCTTGCCAACAACGCGTTCCGCCTGCCGTGCTGTGATCAGTCAATATGCGAAGACTGTAAGTAGCTCATGCGACACTCATCGACCGTCTGGTAACGCTAACATCGACATCAGGTCAGGCTTCGCTCCCTGTAGCTTGTCCAGTATGCTTGCATGAGCCTATGGTGCCCGACGATTGTCGGCCAAACAAAGCACTGCGAACTACAATCAAAGTTTTCCTCAAGAAGAAGGTTATGGAGCGTGAAACGGCTAGGAAGAAAGAAGCTGTGGAGAAAGTGTCTGCTACACCGGCCACTCCTGCTACGCTATTACCAGATCAGACACCAGCTCCACAACCACCCGAGACTTCGGCGCCGCCTCTCACATCTGCAGTAACAGACAGTAGCGACGCCAAGCAAGGCTCTCGCGATGTGTCCCAGCCCCCCCAGTCCCAGGAACGTGCAGGCTCGAAGACTGAGGGGTCAGCCATACCTACTGAGGCCCAGAAAGACATTCCACAGGATTCTATTGAGGTAACGCCATTTATTCACATTGGAGAGCACTCGTCGCTGACCTATTTCAGTCACCTGGTGCCGAGATTTCTAGACGAGCATCCACGCAAACGGCTGGTGACGGTAGCGTTGGTCAGGAAAAGACAGATGATAACGAAAAGCAAATGGAGCAGCAGCAGCAGCAGTCTATGGGTCAGAATGAGCAATGGGCACAAAACAATGTGCAGGGGATGAATATTGGCGGCTTCGGTTTCGATGGTACCAATGGTGGCTTTCCCAATATGGGCTTCAATGGGGTGGGAGACTTTAACCAAATGATGCAATTCGGAATGCCCAACCCTATGATTGGCGCATTTCCCAACATGATGGGTGAGCAACTGTGACAAGGACATCAGCTTTAATACAGATCGCTAACCACGAAATACTAGGTATGCCAGGCATGGGCATGGATCCTATGACCATGTCGCAGGGTATGTACGGCGGCTTCAGCGGGCAAGGCATGGGTATGAATGGCATGAACATGGGCATGGGCTTCAATAATGCTGGACAAGGAGCGTTCGGAGGAGGATTCAACGGGCAACCCGCAGCATGGAACGCAGGCCAAGATAAATTCAATCAAAATGCTTATGCTGGTCAGGCAGGAATGGGCGGTGGTGACTTTGGAGCTAATACTGGATATGGTGGATATAATGTGCCACCGCATCAAGGAAACTTCAACCAGATGCATCAACATCAATATCCCAATAATGATTTCCATCACGGTCACCATGGCCAAGGCTTCCAAAATCGCGGTCGTGGCCGAGGTCGTGGATACACAAATGCAGGACGCGGTCGCGGAGGCTACAGTCAGAATTTTTCTCAAGGTAATCCAAATCAGAACCAGACTAACCACGAATCGTTCCATCAGCAAGTACCACCACAAGTCACGCGGAGAGGTTCCCCAACTTATGGCCCACAACAAGATCAGCCAGCGCAACAGCAACAGGATCAGGGCACTACTGGAAGCCAGCAGGACGCTAGGCCAGAGGAGAATGCCATCGGGCTTACGGCTGAAGAGCAGCTCAACAAAGAGCTTGACCCTGGCGATGCAGATGAAAACGCTGAGAAGCCTCCAGATCTATCTATCAAGGAGGAACAAGTAGAACCGCCAGCGGAACAAGCGGTCGCCAAGACAGAGGCCCCAGAAGAGACCCAGCCTGAGACAGTGCCGGAAACGAAAGAAGAGAAGCCCGAAGCTATACCAGCCTTCGTATCCGATGAAGTTTCAAAGCCAGAGGTACCTGCTGTCAATACCAGCGCCTCTGTTCCGCCCACGATGATGCCTCCACCTAGCCCTATGATTCCCACAGGTCCCTCAGCTTTCCATGCCGACCAACCACTAGACACGAGTCCACGGGGCCGTGGTGCTGGCCGTGGCTTCTATGGGAGTCCGGACTATCGTGGTGGATCGCGTGGCCGAGGCTCTGGGTACCCTCTTCATAACGGCTTTCCTCGTGTCACTCCACCAATAGTAAAGGCTGTCGCTCCTCCTAGTGCGCCCAAGGGTCTTGGCGTCGAAGGTGCGCCCAAGGGCCCCAAGGCCTTCAGACAGGGCCAACCAAACACTGGTATTAAAGGATTCTCCATAGTTGGCCGCGCTTCTGTTGTCGCGCAAAGTGGACCTAACAGTTCCACAGCAACTAAAAGGTATGCGGCTCTTGTGATTACAAAATGCGTTTACTGACACCGAACCCAGCCCATCCCGTGAACGCTCACGTTCCCCCACCAAGCATCAATCCTCCCACCACCGACATCATCGCCACCGCTCCACCAGCCCCTCAAGCGACAGCGAGCATGAGAAGCGACGAGAGCGCCACCGTCGTCATTCTCGGAAGCACGAGGACGAGAACGGCGAGACCAAGGAATCCAAAGATTCACGCACAAGAGTCGCATCAGCCGATTCATCGACTAAGCGAGCCTCGCATCGAAGCCGTCGTGATCACGACAAAGAAAAGGACACAGAGCGAAGCAGTCACCGCTCGCACCGATCCCACCATGATAAAAGCAGAGACGATGACAAGGACCATCGAAGCAACAGGAAGCGATCAAAGTCCCCAGAGATCACTATCAACGGCGCCAGCAGACGCACCATACCCAGCACTAACACCAACGCTAATGGCCATACCAAAAAGCACGATGACCCCTTCCAATCATTGCGCAAGCGGCGTTCCGATGACGAAGAGCACGAAGACCATCACCGGGAACGGAAGCGCTCTCGCCGCGAGCACGAAGACGTGCCCGAAGAGAAGGAAAACGGTCACCGTTCCTCCAAACCCAGCAAGCGTGAAAACAAAGATCCAAGATCCAACCACGATAGACCTCCCAAAGGGCCCGCCCAGGAAAAGGAAAAGGAAAAGCACAAGCCTCTGGATGTGGAGACCGAAAAGCCGAAGTCACCCCCCAAAGGACCGAAGATAGACCAGCACGCCCGAGAGCGCGAGGCGAGGAATGCGGAGAGGGTGGCCAGAGAGGAGCAGCGGAAGGCGAGGGCGATGGTGGGGCAGATTGGGGGCGGGAGCGCGGCGGGAAGTGGGAGGGTCAACGGGAAGGCTGCGGGCCCGGGGAGGAGGATGAGCTACAAGTACGAGGATGAAGAGACTACGCTCATGAAGGGGGAAACCGAGCGGGAGGCTCTGCGGTATCGGTGATGGGTGCGGGAAGTCGGGGTCAGGGTACAGCAGGAGAAGGGCAAGGCAAGGGGGGGCAGGTTGGCGGTATTCGTGGGCGTAGGCGGTCTCTGTCATAGGAACTACCATCACCATAGGAGCAGATTGGTATCGCTCGAGCTTGGCGTACACCTTGGCTCGGCTGTACAGGGGAAATCTAGGGGGGGGAGGGGGGAAATATCGTGTCAGCAAAGGGGGACTTTGGCCGGCGGAGCACAAGAACATCATTATTACAATCGAAGCAGAATAGAGATGTCCGTGTGGCTGAAAAGTTGTATCTCTACTCTACTCCGCTCAAACTGCCGCCCGCTCTGCTGTAAGCAGACATACATAGAACGGGCAAATAGTAAAAACAAAAAACCGTGTTTGAAAAAAAAGCTGTGAGATTTGCACGTGATAATCTTACCCACACACACCCAGACTTCATTTTGCGAGTCACACGAGCGGTGAGATACAGACGACCGACACGTCTCTCGCGTTCAAAGCGAAGAGATCCCATCTACGAGATGCTTGGTGCGAGCTTGGGAGATTCGCAGGAATCTGTGGATTGCAATCTGGCCTTTGGCAGCACATGGTGGGGGGGGGGGGGTAAATCCAGAGATCGTAAAGGGAGTGAGAGGTGGATCGGGAGCCGGGATTCTCGGTGGAGTGGTGTACGAATCCGAGTACATGGCTCCGATAGACTTTGGGACTTTGCTGGATGGGGGAACAATAGAGGGAGGGGGTAACAAGGATTTCGAGGACATGGCTCAGATAGACTTTGGGACTTTTGCTTGGACGGAGGAAGGGAAAAAGGGGGTAGAAAGGATTCCAAGTGCGTGGCTTCGGTGGACGATTGGGTCTTTGCTGGATGGACGAATGGAGAATTTGCAAGATTCCCGGTGAATGGTTGAGCGTTGATGGCTTTTGGAACCGGTGCAGTGGCACTGGAAGATTGGAATTAGAGGAACGATGGTGACATGGTCACGCATATGCCAAGCAGGCTTACAGGGAAAGAGGTCCCGAGGCGCACCGCTTATGTGGTGTTGCTGCATGCAGTCTGCACTGGAGATCTTTCGTTCGCAGGGTCTTCAGAGGTCTGAGAAAGCGCCTAATTTGTCCCAACCCGCGATGATCCGGAACGTCGCATTGAGCACCTGGAGAGTTTTGCGTGGGGGCCGATTAGCATGTGCACGCCTGTTGCAAGATCTAGAATCCAGTGATTGGACCGCACAGATGGTTTTGGTCATGACGAGTGTATTCTTGCCAGATCTGTTGTTTGCAGCCAAAACTTCCCAACGAGTTGCTGCAAGTGAGATGTATCAAATCGACGATAAGAATTCCAATGCCCAGTATACATAGTTTGGTCTCGCGCAGTATGCAAGGTGATAGGGGAAAAGATAGACATCAACACCCCATCATACATAGGCTAGGCCACTCAAGCAAACCTGCTCTGTGGTCATGGACCACGATGCTAAAAGATTGGAAAGCTGCGCAACGGGCAGCCCCACGAACAATTTCCAATCCGGGTACACAATGAGCTCCTAGAGGACATGGATCACTGTTCGCATGGTGCGTCATAAACGCCGAAATTGGCGGAGCAAGCCAGAGAAAATCCGAGGCCAAGGACCTGGGAAACTTTTTGGACTTTGGGGGCGATCTGGGCGCCAGAGACCAGTAATGCCATTGACTTTCGAGAACGCTGTTACGGGCACGAAACCGTCCGGCACAATAGATCGACCGATTCAAAATGAGTGAAAGACTCCCAGAGATGATCGCAAGATGAATCCATGGGTAAATGTAGCATTTCTTGTACAAATTACGGCGTGTGATCGTCTTGAAGCCCCTATCCCGGGTAGGCTTCCATCGGTCCTCTGGAAACTGAAATGGAATGATTCCTAAAGCCGATATCAATGCGGCTTCAAGAACCCAACGAAAATCTGGTCGGGTCCTCGGATTTCCATAAATGTCCTAATCAAATTCCCTGGAACCGATATCGTCATTAAGCCCCTGGGCATGGGTCGGGCATCATTGTGGAGCGGGTGGCCCGATTCGTGGTTCCGAAAGACAAGGACAGTAGGTAAGAAAATAGAGCGGAAATAGACACATTTGAGAGGCGTTGAAATACCAGTGGTCTATCCATGGCACACGTAAATGACATCCGTAAAATCGATAGCCAAATCATCAGTAGTGACTGTTCACCCGCAGACTGTTCTCCCGTACCAGTATATGGTGTCCTAGTCCCCAAGGTACCGTAGTAGGAAAAGACCGTTGGTAAGCCAGCGCAAAGACGCAAACATGGTCATCGAAGAGCTGAAAGCGCAATCCAATCAAGATAGGAATTCCTAGGGGTCCAGGAGAGAGGGCGCAGGGGAAAGCATCCAATGAGTCCTTTGATTAATGGTATTTGTATATTCCGAAGGAATAGGCTAGTCCGGCAGTTTCCTCCAAATCTTTGCCAAGGAACGAGTATCCAACTAAGGTAAAGTGAGTATGGTACCCAATTTGTCCTCTAATCCCAAAAAAAGGAGCGGAGAAAATGAAGTAAAGTAAAGTATTGGATAGAAGATCAGATGCGTCACTCGGTTGACGCTTGGACCAGGCATTCTCTCCCACTTCCCATTTGGCCAGTCAGTTTTAAGCCCGTTTCTTCTTCTGCCGGGATTTTGGAGCCTTTGAGTTTGAAGCCCCATCACTTTCATCACTGCTGCTTTTGTCGCTTCCGCTACCCCCACGTTTTCGTTGACCCTTACCTTTCTTCACACTCACCGTCGCACCTTGTCGCTTGAGCTCCTTGGTTAAAGCGGTGCTTGCTCGCATTCCCGGGAAGTCCTTTGCGCTGAACACCTCGAAGATGTCGCTGTCTATGCTTCCAGCGATGCTACCTTGGCCATCCTCGGATGAGTTGGGCATGCTGACTTTCATCAGCGTAAAGCGGAGCCGATAATGCCCGTTCTGGCGGCAGGAAAGATCCGGGAAAACAAAGAAGCAACCAAGGTTGGCATTGTCTTCGCTCGACTGGGGAGCCTCAGGGTCGTTGCCAACGAAAGGTGAAGCCACCAGAGTACCCATGAGGCGACGGCTCACCCTGTTCGATTGGTTTGGGTCGGGGACGGCGGTCACATCCGAGGTCGGCGGATATGTTGAGGGTTGAGGCGGAACGGAGAGTAGAGCGCAGTGCACGATGTTAAATGGCCAGCGAAGCTCGGCAATGTCTGCGGATGATTTGGGATTGAAATCCTTGAGAGACAGCTGGACAATGGGCGGAGGGTCAATGACACGGCGGTCGCGTTCTCCAAAACCACACGCACGCGCGGCGATGGGCTGTTGGCGCAGTGTAAGCATGTAGCGATCGGTCCTAAGACTGTCCTTAGCATTCAATTCTCTTTCCAGCCTTGCTCTGCTAGGCACTTACATGTCTCCTGGCCTGCTCGAGGTCTCAACAAACACTGAAGCAGGTTTAGGAAAGTGCATTGGTCCAGTACCGTGTCCGCTGGAAGAAGTGATAGAGCTCCGGTAGGAACTCGCTGGGCTTTGGTGCGATGAGTGGCCCGCTGGAAAGGTGTTTGTGGAGTATGCTCCTTCATTGAACAGTGAAGCCTCTGGCGGAGGCTCATCAGTTCCGTAGCGAACAGGTGATAGAGCCTCGTACACGGTCCCTGGATTAGTAGATTGGTATGAGGCCTTGGACGGGTAGAGAGGTGGATGTGGGAAACTTGACACGTGCCCTGAGAGCCCCGGTGGTGCCGAAGTTTGCCAACCCGGTCTAAACTCCTGGGCCGGTGGCTGTCCAAGTGGTGACTGCCGCTCATACACTGGATAATGCCGGGTTGGGAGATCTGAATACTGAGGCCGTACCTGAGGCGACTGGGGTACGAATGAAGGTTCTAGATGAGATGGAGGTGGAAGATGGCGAGAGGCTGCTTGCATTGTGGACGGTGGCGGTAGTGTATGAGCAGCAGATTGCGGACGATGGGTCTCTGCCATCATGCCATAGCCTGATGCCAGACGAGTGGGGTAGTAGACGTCCCTTTGGCCGGATGGTGCAGAGCTTGTTGGAGGTCTCGAGGACATGAGCAGACGGACTACGGTGGTCTTGTGGGAACGCTTGTTCTGTGACACTGTAGGGGACTTGCTTGCTTGGTTTGGCGGCAGGTTACCCCAATAGCATGGTCTGAGCGGGTGGAGGAATGGACAAACAAGGGTGGCAAAGAAGGCATGAAGGCGAAGTTTTTATGGGAAGGGAAAGAGGAGAAATGATTTATACTCGAACCAATGACTGTGACAGCAGGGGGGGTGTGATATAAATGAAACCAGTAAGATAAATATAGTGTTTGATACAGAAGGGGAAAGGTTGGGCAGGTGAGAAAGGTCAGGAATGGAAGATCATGGAGATCAATGCGGTACTTGACGGCGCCAAGAGGTGTCGAAAAACGGACCGCTGCCATTTTCCACCCGGCATCCAACGGTCCATCAGCAGAGCCGGGGCTCAATTGATTGCCTGCGACTGCTGTGAGTGGCTGTTCCACGCCGCCAGGACCCTACGACATATCTCCACCCGGCTCTCCATTACTGTGATCATTACTATCCTCCTCACTCCTCCTTCATTCCTCCCTCCTCACTCCTCATCCTCCATCCTCCACCCTCCATCATCTTCCTGGAAAACAGGAAACAGGCACCTGCACGAGTCAGTGCATTCGACGGGCTTGCTTACTGCAGCAATTCGTATCTGCAAGACACTACTCTCGAGGGTCTAGACGTGTCAGACTCAGGAATCTGTGATGCCATGAAACCGATTTCGACCCCCCTGCGACACTTTCGATGGTACCTTGGCTGCCGTCCTGTATTGATGCCTGACCACTACCCACTGCATTTGTTTTTCTCCTCTGGTATAGAAACAAGGTTACTTCCTGATTGCCCTTTAAGCCTGTGGCCCTGTGCTTATTTCCACTCTCGTTCGGCGATCTTAGTTCCCTCCGGCATTTAGCGGTTGATCAATACTT